AGAAACGTTTCTACAAGATGTTACATATTTCTCTTTCTGTTCATTTAGTCAATCTGATCTCAATAGTTTGTACAGAAGCTATGCGACTCGGCAAGGCTGTTAAGTATTACCGGGATAAATGTTTCTTCGTCGTGTTCGGTTAAATAAATTTTCTTCATTTTCCATGATACATTTTGAGTGGCCATAGCTTTAACTTGATCTTCATACACTTTTATTACGTTTAAATTGTATTTTGAAAGCGGGAAGTATCCTCGCCGTATATTCAAACATATTTCATTCAGGAAACAAATCAGGCCTTTCGATGCGTTTTTAAGTACAGCAGACCTCAAATACTTTTCTGGTTTGCGAAGGAGGTAGATTTTTTCTTTGTACATTTTTTCATGATCACTCAAAATGCGAATCGACCGATCAAACTCATCTTCTTCTCTATTGGTACTATCACTATCGTCGTCGGCATCCGTTTCACTATCATCATCAGTGTCCATCTTGGCACAAGTCTCTTCCCCCTCAGTATCTGTCTCCACCTCATCATTCGACTCATTGCCATTAGACATGTTCTGGTCCGAAGCGTGATCAGCATCCTCCTCTTCACTAGTCTCATCATCACTGCTTTCCTCCACCCACTCCATCCATAAAACATCTGCACATTCTGAATCGTCACTTTCGTCTGTTGTCTCAGCGGTGCCATCCGATCCGTCCGAGCTAAAGTCCAAAGGCTCTCTAGTCACATCTTCATCCTCATCGAGACGCAGGCTGCTGTCACGTCCCTCAGACTCGTATTCACCTCTCGGCTCCACTTTGTGATTGTGGGGTGTCTCTTTTTCAACCTCAATGTGTCTATCGGTATTGGTTGTAACAACCGTAGCTGAGCATTGCCTCGCAGAACATTTCCAGTATCTTCTGTTGTTTCGGCGTAAACGATGATAAAATGATTGCCCATCAAGAAGGAGTTTTTCACCCCCACTTTGAAGTTGTACAATTTCAGTCCGCATTTTTTTTTTTTTATTTTTTTTTTTGGCACGGGAAGAACGAAAACGATCTTTACGGCGTGACTGTCAGGGCGAGACTAAATGATGTTTTAAAAGTCAATGTAAGATATAAGTCCACAAACGTCCAGCGAGTCAACAAACTTGCCAAATGAGTCCACAAGCTTGTCCTATTAGTCCACAAACTTGTCCAACGAGTCCACAAACTTGTCCAATGAGTCCACAAACGTGTCCAATGAGTCCACAAACGTGTGCAATGAGTCCACAAACTTGTCCAATGAGTCCACAAACTTGTCGAACGAGTCCACAAACGTGTCCAATGAGTCCACAAACGTGTCCAACGAGTCCACAAACGTGTCCAACGAGTCCACAAACGTGTCCAACGAGTCCACAAACGTGTCCAATGAGTCCACAAACGTGTCCAACGAGTCCACAAACGTGTCCAAAGAGTCCACAAACGTGTCCACTGCAGTCTACTGCAAACGACTAATAAAAACCGAGTCCCATTGGCTCTGACCGGGTTCGCCGCACATCTGCGGCTTCAGCTGTTCGGTCCAGCTGCTCACCGTCCCCAACAAACATCCCGCAACACGCAATACAAATGTATGCCAGAACACCGAGAAATACAAAAATATATTCGCTGGCGGTGAGAGGTACACTGTTGTTGCAGTAAGTCCCTACATCGGTCACATTAGACGTGTAGTTTAAAGCGCTTGTCATCGGCACCGTGTCGTTGCAGGCAGGGCGCCCTTGAGCAGGCGCGCACAGCACGGCAAGGGCCACGGCAGCGCGCAGTGCCCACCACATGTTGTCGGCTTGCACAGTCAGACTTATTTGAAATTGTTTCCGGTGATCAGCTTCTTTTCTACATCATCTGCGCAGGGCAGCACGGCTCGACACAAGAAAACAACTCAGCAGATCAAGCTCGATGCGAGTGTGACTGCATAGCATCCCCGCTTAACCTCCCCCAAAATTGTGTCTGTTCCCATTTTCAAATCCAGCGCGTTAGACCAACCGAGTTGAGCCGAGAGCATACCACGCCACGCCACGCCACGCTGCGCTGAGCCGACAGCATACCGCGCCGCGCCACGCCGCGCCACGCCGCGCCACGCCGCGCCGGGCCTCCGCCTCCGGAGAGCATACCACGCCACGCCGCGCCGCGCCGAGCCGACAGCATACCGCGCCGAGCGGTGCCGAGCCGCCCGAGCACCAGCGGAACAATAGCCCGCCAGGTCGCTTACCTCCGTATACCTGACTCGTAGTCTTGGGGATAGCGGAACAATACCCCGCCAGGTCGCTTCCCTCCCTATACCTGACTCGTAGTCTAGGGGTTAGCGGACTCGTCCCGTAAGCCCATGACTGCGGGTTCGATTCCACTCTCCGGCAAAAGCATTTTTGGCTGTGACGTCACAACAAGATTGCCATCTCCAGCACCGCGACCAAGTGCCCTGTGCTCTGAGGCCAGCGCGACCAGGTGCCCTAGCCGTCCTCTCCTCCCCCCACTCCCAGGCCGCGACCAGGTGCCCTGCCAGCGCGACCAGGTGCCCTAGCCGTCCTCTCCTCCCCCCACTCCCAGGCCGCGACCAGGTGCCCTGAGGCAGCCGCGACCAAGTGCCCTGACCGTCCTTTGCTCCCCCCTCCCAACCCGCGACCAAGTGCCCGCGACCAGGTGCCCATTATACTACTCCCCTAGCCCCCGCTCCCCAGTGACACCTTCGGCGATAGGCAACCCACTCTGCAATGGCGTCCTGGGTGTTCAAGTAAATACGGTAACCTCTTCCAACGGGGCAGCATTTAAATACGCTGTGTGATATCGCTCGAAATGCTGCAAAATACGCCGCGGTGTGCCGTGCCGGAAAACGGGTCGAGAATGCTTTCTCGGATTCAATAAGTTTCACTCAGTCGGGTCGGTCCGAGCAGCGCCATCACTCGACATAACAGTCGGCAGCTAATGCGCCCGCCGCGCCCACGCACAACGCCGTCCGTCCGGCAGCGAAGATTTTTCAGCAAAAACAAATGTAAATCACCGCCGCCTCCACGTCCATAGCGGCACCCACAGGAGGATGACGATATTATAACATGAAATAAGTAAGTACAGCTGCGAGGAAATGTGGGAACGGTAATACATTCAGCCGCGGCGACGTCTCAAGCTCACATTTATAACGAACGGTACAGCTAACTAGGAATGAACGACTCTCTTTCCATGCTCTGTACTCCGCGCTCCCCTCTCTCGCTCTCTGCTCGCACGTCGATATGCAAAGTAGCGTGTTCCACCGCGCTGTCGATTGCAGCGGCCAGATCTCACTGCAGCCTCCAGATGTCTCCATCAGCTCGCTCGCTCTCTCTCTCTCTCTCTCTCTCTCTCTCTCTCTCTCTCTCTCTCTCTGATTTCTTCAATAAGGTGAGGGCGGCGAGTACAAACCAACGCCGAGAGCAAGAGAGACAGGGAGTGGCGGGAGGGGAGGCAGGGGGGTGGCGCCAAGCCAGCTGCTTTGCGTGCGGACAACGTATCATACACCACGACCGCCAGTTTACGCCGCGCTCCCCCGCCGCTATACGCGCGGTCACGTGATCAACATTTATGAATCAATTAGTTTTCGAGAAGTCGATAAATCTCGATCGGCTCTCTCGATCGCGATCGAAGTCGCCGCCGCCGCCAGTCGAGCGGCCGGTCCGGCCCGTTGGAGTCCCCCCGTACGCCGCCACAGCGACAAAGATGAAGGACTTTATTCAAATTGGTCCCGCGCCTCGCGCCACGTTGACACGGCCCTCGGCGGCCCCCGGTGTGAAATGCAGTTCCCCATGCATATGACGGCAATAGAAAGAAAGACAAGAAAAAGAAGACAGGCTAGGTGTGTCGAACGCGTGAGACCTTACGCCCCCAAAAAACAACAAAAAAAATACTACATTCTCTAAAATGTTTCAAAATGTTACAACAAAAACAAAAGCATCATTTTAGCGACCCGAGCCCAGTGTGCCGGCCGTATGCTCGGCGTTTATACGCCATATGGCATCCCAAAGGATGGGAATTGCGACTAAACGGCCATCTCGCACCTCTGTAAGGGCCTCCCTGCAGGCGGGGAGGGGCAGGGAAGAGGGAGAGGGCTCATGCTATGCTCCTGCTGCTGTTGATTCACACCTTTCCGCGGGGCAGGGAAGGGGGGAAAGAGGAAGAAGAGGAGAGGGAACTCCCACCACGAGCAGCAATCGCCTTGAATAATAAAACATGCACAAAACGACTCGAGAACAACGGCCGAGGTAAAAATGCACGGCGGGCCACGTGATCGCTATAAACGCCTCAGTGCGCCGCCCTTACCTTTTCGATATTCCGGAGCCGACACGCGAGTCGGAATGAGAGAGCGAGCGCGAGAGCGCAGCGAGGAGCGAAGGCGCGCAAGGCACCCCGAGCACCTCAGCCCATGTCCAGCTCGATGAAATCGAATTTTAATCGAGCAATGGGAAGGCCCAAGCCAGTGCCGATGCGGAGGCCAAAGAGAAATCCTAGAGAGGAGGCCTAGCGTCGTCGCCTCTGACGACTGCCGGTGTTATCCCCTCCCCCCCATCTCTCTCTCTCTCTCTCTCTCTCTCTCTCTCTCTCAGTGTCAGAGAGTGGCCCTAACTGCAGCGCGGCCCTTTTCCCTCTCTCTCTTCTTTTCCCTCTCGCTCTGCAGCTCGCGGCGCGGGCACGGCAGGGCTATAACGCATTTCGAAATGTAATGAGATCTGAATATAACGCGGCAGAGATGGGATTCCGGGCGGGGCGTGTGCCGTCGCGGCC